CTACTCTGGGACTCAGACCGTGATATAGGATTCCCGATTCATTTAGATGATGCCAAATTCTGAACATCATGACTGAATTTTGCATAGCCTTCTCAAAAATAACACGCTATGGTCTCTTGAGGAAATGACCTGTTTGATGTCCGGCATTAGGCATATGTGATGTGTCAGGAATATCTGCTGCCGTTTTGTGACATCAGTGATCACACCAAGGTCCGAGTGGCCAACCAGTACCGGGCCATATAAGGTCTCTCTGGGGACACCTGGACTACTAGGAGTCTCTTGAGAGGTTCGCGCTTTTTTACTGGGTTGGTGTTATACGACAACCACCGATGAAGGACGACATCATATTGCGACCGACATGTCCTACAATATGTCGTCACGACATGTATGACATGTCGTTTTTCCGAATGTCGGCGCCGTTTACCAAGTTCCAAGGAACCTGTTTATCATAAATATGTTAACAAATCAAAACAGCTTCAGAACCGATGTTAATTTTGATTTGAGATTGTGTGCCTGTTCATTGGTCAAAGTAAAACTACAATAACTAATTTCAGTATGTGCCTGCTACCTGAATCATGAATGTTTTTGTCACTGCTGTTGGATACATAAAAACAACTGTTTATGTACCTGTACGTTTCCGTCCACACAAGTGACGGCGTGACGCTGCGAGCCTGTGACGGGCTGACGGCAAGTCGCAAGGCTAGACCAAAAATAGGTATTCGGAAATTGAAAAGTGTGTACTTGTGTGTACTTAGAAGTAGTCCGTATTTGATGGTTGTTGTGATGAGCTTGTGAGACCACTCACCCAGTATCATTAGGATGACAATCGATTTTTATAAAGATGTGTCATATTCATTTTTATATGGATATGATCACATAATGTATCATGTACGCGAACAAATTTGTGCTCCCCGGCGCTGTTGTGACCGTCAGATTGCGGCGCGCTTTCAATGAAAAACAGAATACTCGAGTAAATCTAGTTTTTCATTTGGTATGGACAATGTGAGAGTGTGTATGCACGTTCTCTATACCGATGTTCAGAAGCTATCTAGGTTTTGTTTTCTATGCACAATGCTATGGGCTATAGGCCAAATGCAAAATTACATTTGCAATAATTGACAAGAACGCGTGCCGGTGTGAACTTGAGGCCGTCTAAGTATGCCGCACGTGTACTGCCATAAACATATTTGATTCGGAAAAATGAGTATCTTGAACTGGGTAGGCTCTTTTCTTGAATGTATAGCATTCAACTGATGAATGGCTATTCTCTTGGTTTGTATATGTATCCACATAGAAGGAGGCTGGGTATATATATATATATATATATATATAGTATNTATATATATATATATATATACTGAGACGTACGTACGACACGACGACGAACGAACGGAAGGTAGGAG